CCTTTTTCCCTGTCTCCCTTCCTTCCTTCCAGCCATGTGTGCGCTCATACATATACCTGTCCACCAACACACTCGTACATTCACCTGTCCATTCATCTGTCTGTTCTTCATTCATCCACCCACCCACCCGTCCATCCACCCATCCATTCCTCCATTCCTCCATCCTCCCACCCATCCACTTTTTACCTCCCAACCTTTCACTCTTCTGGGCTTTCCAGGTGGTGGAATTAAACAATTTCCAGGTGGTGGAATTAAACAGACAAAAATCTGATAGCTTCATAGTGGTAATTGTGTTAGTCACTCAGTCGTGTCTGACTCTCTGCAACCCCATGGACTATAGCCCATCAGGCTCCTCTGTCCATGGAGATTCTCCAGCAAGAATACTCCAGCCATGCCCTCCTCCAGAGGATTTTCCTGACCCAGGGACTGAACCCAGGTCTCCTGCATTGCAGGCAGACTCTTTACCATCTGAATGCCAGCCACAGAAATTAAAATTATGAATGTAAGAGGACTGAGCGAGCCTCACCACAGGGAAGGGAGTCACATCTGGCTCAAGGCCAACAGAGCCGATGGGCTGTCAGTTACGCTCTGAAACCAGCTCCCCAGCCCTGGCCGTGACTGCCGCACACAGCATGGTGCTGCAGGGCTGGACGCAGGAACCAGACGCTGGGGAAGAGGACCCTGATGTCAGGGGTATTTCTGGGGATGGCTTCCCTGGCAGATCAGCTGCTAAAGAATCCACCTGCAATGCAGGAGACCCCAGTTCGATTCCGAGGTTGGAAAGATAACCTGGAGAAAGGATAGGCTACCCACTCCAGTATTCTTGGGCTTACCTGGTGGCTCAGATGGTAAAGAATCTGCCTGCACTGTTGGAGACCTGGCTTCAATCCCTGGGTTGGGAAGGCTCCCCTGGAGGAGGGCATGGCAACTCACTCCGGTATTCTTGCCTGGAGTATCCCCATGGACAGAGGAGCCTGGCGGGCTACCATCCATGGGGTCACAGAGAGTTGGACATGACTGAGCACATACATCAGAACCTGGGGGAAGCGAACACCCCAAGACCAGACCAGGAAGCAGCAGGAGCACAAAGCCTGCTCTGCGTGCTCACCCAAGTGATGGCACCACCTCACCCCCGTGGTTCAACAGCCACCCCCGTCTCAGGACACTCAGCCGCGCCCAGCCTCCTCCTCTTTGCTGTTCTAATTCCCCCATGAACCATCAGAAGGTCTTGGAAAGGTCGTTCGAGGACACAAGGTCCCAAACGCCCATCAGCAGAGGAGAGGGACTCCTGCAAAGGCTTCCCTGGTGGCCCCGTGATAAAGACCAGAAGGAGACCACGCAGGAGACTCAGGTTCAATCCCGGGGTCGGTAAGATCCCTGGAGAAGGAAACGGCAGCCCACTCCAGCGTTCTTGCCTGGGAAATCCCATGGACAGAAGAGCCTGGTGGGCTGCAGTCCATGAGGGTGCAGAGAGTCGGACGTGACTAGCAGACTAAACAACAACAACTCCTTGAACAAGAACCACCAAAATCAAAGGCAGCAGAGTGGATGCCCACCTCAGATAGATTCCTTACCGCCTCAGTTTCCCTGTATGTAAAGTGAGGAGATGGATGGAGCCCTCTCAGAGTCGGCTGAGGAGAAATGAGTTAATACCTATGAAGCATGTATCATGGGCATGGCTTATAGTAAGCGAGGGGTTTGGAGGGCATTGCTTTTTATTTATTTGGCTGTGCCAGGTCCTAGCTGTGGCACATGGGGTCTTTGATCTTCACTGCAGCATGTGAACTCTTAGTCATGCGGGATCTAGCTCCCCAGCCAGAGATGAAACCCAGCCCCCCACACTGGGAGCACCAGAGACCTAGCCACTGGAACACCAGAGAAGTCCCAAACCCATCTGTTCTGGGCAGCCACTCTCCAAGTCTGGTCCTGGACCAGTAACCGCAGCGTCACCCGGGGCCTTGGTGGAAATGCAGATCCTCTGGCCCCATCCCAGAGCTGCTGCACCAGGAACCCTGAGGGTGGGCCCCAGCTGCAGAGTAACACCTACTTAAAGGACGGGGGAGACTCTTTTGAAAGTGGGGACCTGCTTGTCTTATGCTAAAATATTGTTGCTGTTGCCAAGTCTGACTCTTCACAACCCCATAGACTGCAGCACAACAGGCTTCCCTGTCCCTCTCCCAGAGTTTGCCCAAGTTCATGCCCATTGCATCAGGGATGCCATCCAACCATCCCATCCTAAAATGCTAAAATATTACCTCCCTGCAAAATCAACCCAAAACTCTGAGCTGGATCTCATGTGTGTTTCTCACTCCTCCTTCTGCCTCCCAACTCACAGTGACTATCCCTAGATTCCTTCCTCCTTCAGAAAAGGCTCCCAGCATCCCCCTCTACTTCAGCTGCAGAATTCAATCAATGTGCTCTCCCCAACCCCTGCCCAATGTCTTAGCTTCCTTTTCCTCCTGTCCCTGCTAATAATTTAATCGGGCATGGCATCTGGGGGCACAAAGGACAGCATGGCTATTACAGCAAGACTTTAAGAGAAAATCTGAAAGGGCTGAGAAATGCGACGAAAATGAGAGACAGCCATGGGAGGGGGGAAGACATCTGGGCAGAGTTTTAAAGCAGCAGGCACGCCTGGCCCTGAGCAAACAGGGAGCTGCGGGCACAGTTTTCTGACACAGGTGGAACGTGCATCAGAGAAGGGGATCCATTCTCTACTCATCAGCAAGTGCAGGGCAAGCAGGGCCGTCTGGGGTTTCCCCTGAGATAGCATCTGTCCCGTGGGTGAGCCGTGAGAGAGGAGGAGCTGCCGAGAGAGGTGGGGTCATTCTCACCCAAGAGGCTCGCGATGAGACCACAACAACCAGCAGCACCTGGGCCACTCTGGCCTGAGCCCACCCAGCTCTGCAGTGGGCCCCCGCCCACCTGGGAACCGGCCTCCCGCACAGAGCAGGCGCCGGCTCGTCACCGCTGGGTCACATTCCTGCACACACATCCTCACTCAGGCTGCGCCGCGACCAGAAGGCCCACTTTACAGATGAAGAAAGCGAGCTTTAAAGAAGGCTACCAGGACTTCCCTGGTGGCTCAGGGGTTAAGAATCCACCTGCCATTGCAGGAGACTCAGGTTTGACCCCTGATCTGGGAAGACCCCACATGCCACCGAGCACCTAAGCCCATGCCCCACAACTCCGGGGCATGTGGGATCTTCCCGGCCAGCGCTCTAGAGCCAAGGCGCCTACCCAGGCAACTACTGAAGCCTGCTTGCCTAGAGCTGATGCTCAGAAACAGAGACGCCACTGCAGTGAAAATCCCATACACCGCAACTAGAGAAAGCCTACATGCAGCAACAAAGACCCAGTGCAGCCAAAAAATAATAGATACATCAAAATTAATTTTAAAAAAATTTGTTTAAGTCGATTCTCTCCCAAAAGCACCCCTCCAGGTCCCCATCTCCACCACCCTATGCCAGCCGCCNACTGAAGCCTGCTTGCCTAGAGCTGATGCTCAGAAACAGAGACGCCACTGCAGTGAAAATCCCATACACCGCAACTAGAGAAAGCCTACATGCAGTAACAAAGACCCAGTGCAGCCAAAAAATAATAGATACATCAAAATTAGTTTTTAAAAAATTTGTTTAAGTCGATTCTCTCCCAAAAGCACCCCTCCAGTTCCCCATCTCCACCACCCTATGCCAGCCGCCCTGGGGGTCCACCACTGGCCTGGGTGAGCTGACCGACCCCTGGCAGTACAGACATCCTTCCCACGGCATCACCCACTCCAGCACGGGGCTTCCAGCGCACGAGCCAGTGTGTGGCTTTGATATTCACCAGCACGCCCCTCCGAGGGACCCAGAGACCACTGCGCAGAGTCCCAGAGGGGCTCGTGTGCAGACACACCCGCCGTCACAGCACCAGGGAACCCTGAGCAGATTTCTGCCCCATCTTCTCTACGGTGCAGTTCTAAGCGCGTCTGCTTTCTCAGCTTTTGCCTTCTGGAGTCTAAGAAAAGGCTGAAACGGCGTCTCTCCCAGACGCGGGAGGAGCATTTATCCATTTACATCTGACAGCACCGGCTCTTTGTCGCTGTGTGCAGGCCTTCTCCAGCTGCAGTGGCTGGCGGCTCCTCTCCAGTTATGCCATGAGAGCCTCTCCTGCAGCGGCTTCCCCTGGTGCGGGCACAGGCTCCGGGGCGCAGGGCCGTCGGCAGCTGTGGCTCCCGCAGAAGAGCACCTCGGGGGGCCGAGCGTGGCCAGGCGGGCTTGTGAGCCACACAGACCGGCAGGAGGGAGGAAGGGAGGCTTTTCCTGCCATTCCTGACGCCAGGCCTGGGGCCAGGTGAGCAGAATGCATCCCTTCTCAGTGGAGAAGCCAGGTACCAGCCACACACGGATACTCACTGGTCTCTCAATTCTCCCTCCAGCTTCCCCCTGCTCAGTGGAGCCTGAGAGATGCCAAGAATGGAAAGGAAGCAGACAGCAGGCAGTGCTGCGCTCGGAAGGAGAGGCAGCTTGCAGAGCTCTTCTCTCCTGGCTGCTCTTTCCAAGTCAAAATATAGCAGGCGTGGGGAAAGGGGAGGTAGAATTGGCTCCTGGAGGTCTGACCTCATGGACTCCTGCCTATGATGGTGACAGTCACATGCCAAACAGACGTGAGAGCATCAACACTCCCTGATGAATTCAGCCAAGACACACAGGCTTTTATCCACTAGTCAGCTCTTAGCTGCTTTTCCAGATGTGCTCCTTCTGAAGGACCTTCAGTGGCCCTGTTGCTATAAGGCCCAGGCTCCACCCACTGTAATCCGCAGCACACATGTGGATGCAGAGGGATGGTAAGAAGGCTGCAGAAAGTTCCCTGTGTAGCGCTAACTGGCACTCACTGGCATCTAACCAGCAACCCAAGCCAGCTTGCACCCACTGTGGCTCAAGAAGCTCAGCTCCTGACCTTGTTACCCACCTCTGGAACACATGGAGAATAAACATTGAGGGAAATTAGTCAGTTACCTTCATGGAGCCCATAGCTTGGAAAGTCACAGCCAGTCTGGAAGGGGTCAGCGCCGCCAGCATCGCATTGAATCGTGCACTCTTGTCCTTAATGGGGGAGTGGTACTGCCCATCCGGAGCCACGGAACCAAACCTGCGGTGGGGCGGAGGGGGTGGAAAAGAGAGGTGGAGTGAGTGTAGGAGGAGAATATCACGTCTGGAAATGAAGGCAGGTGGCTCCCACAAGCACACGCAGGGAAGTCACACAGGGATCCCCATCCTGGAACCTCCCTCCCAAGACAGCAGAGTGGGGGGCAGGACAAGTGCCTCCCCAGGAGATGCTGAGAAAGGCTTAAGTCATGGAAAGTAAGCGCTGATATCCTGCCACTACCATTCTGCGACTCAGCGGTGACCCCGGACAAAGAGAGGCATGAGGACCACCATCATTAACCCAACCCTGGAGCCTGGCAGTCAATCCACATTTTTGTTATTGAAATATAAATCAATACACCATAAAATCTATCCTTTTAAATTGTTCAATGGTCTTTAGTATAGTCTCAAAGTTGTACAACCATGACTACTATCCGGTTCCTAAACACTTCATCACCCCAAAAGAAGCCCCAGACTGTTAGCACTCACATCCCAGATTCCCTACCCATTAGGGCCTGGCAGCTATTCACCTATTTTCTAACTCTCTGGATTTGTCTCGCTCTGGACCTTTCACATAAGCAGTGTCACACAATGTGCGGTCTTTGTGTCTGGCCTCTTTCACCTGACACAATTTTTTCAAGGCTTGCACATGTTTTCACATGTATCGGTTGCTGTATCGGTTCACCAACTGAACAACAGATCGGTATCTGACTCTTTGTGACCCCAGGGACTGCAGCACTCCAGGCCTCTCTCTCCCTCACCACCTCCCGGAGTTTGCCCAAGTTCATGCACCTGTATCAGTACTTCATTCCTTTTATGGCCAAGTAACACTCCACTGTATAGGGATACCTTAGGTTGCTTATGCACCCATCAGCTGATGGATATTGGTATTGTTGCCACTCTTTGGGCTGTTATGAACAGTTGTTGTGAACATCAGTATACAAGTTTTTCTGCGGCTATATTTTCAGTTCTCTTGTGGACAATGTCTTCATACAGACCAAGGAGTAGAATTGATAAGTGCTATGAAGACATTAAACTTTTAAGATTTTACTTCCTTCTTCATTTCTGGCCACACTGGGTCTTCACATAGGCTGCTACACACGGGCTCCTCTAGCTGCGACGGGCGGGGCTCCTCTCGCTGCGGGGCACAGGCTTCTCACTGCAGCGGCTTCTCCTGTTGCGGAGCACAGGGTGGACAGCGAGGGCTCGGCATTTGTGGCACATGGGCCCCGCTGCCCCGTGGCATGTGGGATCTTCCCGGACCAAGGATCGAACCCGTGTCCCCTGAATTGGCAGGCGGATTCTTTACCACCGGACCACCAGGGAAATCCGACTTCAAACATTTGAAGAGCTGACAAGCTCTTTTCCAAATTGACAACACCAGTTTACATCCCCACCAGCAAAAGATGAGGGCTCAAATTTCTCTAAATCACTGCCAACACTTGTTATCATCTGTCTCCTTTACTATAGCCATGAAGTGAGTGCAAAATGGTACTTCATTGCGGTGTTTCAATTGGCATTTCCTTGCTAACAGTGATGTTGAACATCTTTACATGTACTTATCAGCCATCTTCTATATCTTCTTTGGATAAATGTCTACTCCTATTTTTGCCCATTTTTTTAGTTGGGTCACTTGTCTTTTTATTGTTGAGCTTTAATATAGTTTATAGTCTGGATACTAGGTTCTTATATATGATTCACAAATATTTTCTCCCGTTCTGTGGATTGTCTTTTCACTTTCTTCATAGTGTCCTTTGCTGCACAAGTCTTTCAAATTTGGATGAAGTCCAATTTATCCATTTTTGCTTTGGTTCTTTGTGCTTTTTGCTGTCACATCTCATAAATCATTGCCTAAACAAGGTCACAAAGATTTACACCTATGTTTTCTCCTATCAGTTTTACAGTTTTACCTCTTATATTTAGAGCTATGATCCATCTTCTGTTAATTTCTGTACAGCATATGCGGTAAGGGTCCAAGTTCATGTACTTGCATATGGATATCCAGTTGTTGTGGCACCATTTGTTGAGAAGAGATTTCTTTCCCCATTAAATTATCACCCTTGCTGAATATCAACTGGTCATAAATACTAGAATTTATCTCTAGATCCTCTATTCTATTCCATTCTCCATACATCTAGCTTTATGCCAATACCACAGTGACCTAATAATGGTAGGTTTGTAGTAATTTTTCTAATCAGGAATGTGAGTCCTCCTACTTTGTTTTTCATTATCAAGATTATTTCGGCTACTCTGAGTGTCTTGCATTTCCATCTGATTTTTAGGACCAGCTTCTCAATTCCTTTTTAAAAAAAGCAGCTGAAATTTTGATAAGGATTTCACTGAATCTGTACATATATTTACAGTCCCACTTTTGACCAAGTGATAAACCAACACCCCCAAGTGTGTTGCCTCTGCTGTTTGGTAGTATTCGGGGGGCTATACCAACGGAATAGTTTTCAATCAAATCTTATCAAAGAATATTCTATACACTCTCATACCTCCTACAGACCTTGGAGCACCCTATCATTTTTCTCTCTGGTTGAATCTGATTTTCTAATCTCTAGTGCATTGGATAAATGCTAAACCAGTTGGTTGAGGTTCTAATAGAGGACTGCCCAATCCACTAAGATCCCATTTGGGTGAGTGAGAGATAGGGCACTCCACATCTACAGCTTCTCTTAGCTCTTCCCCATCTCTGAGAGTGCAGTGATGCTGGTGAGTGACAGGAAATGTGCAGGGAAGGCTGGCGGTCCTCAGATCTGCTGGCATGGGCACTGGTTGTTTCTGAGGGGGCCTGGGGGCTTCATCCCCTACTAGGATACGCACAAAATGCTTTTGTTGTTTACATTTTGTGCGTGTGTGCTTAGTCACTCAGTCACGTCCAACTCTTTGTAATCCCATGGACTGTGTCCCGCCAGGCTCCTCTGTCCATGGGATTCTCCAGGCAAGAATACTGGAGTGGGTTTCCATTTCCTCCTCCAGAGTATATTCTTCACCCAGGGATTGAATCAGGTCAACTGTGTTGCAGGCAGATTCTTTACTGTCTGAGATACAATTAAGCCCCTGTTTCCATTTTATTTCCTACCAATTCAGAAGCGGAAAAAAGTTAACAAACAGAATTTGGTTCATTTTGTTTCCCCTATTATTTTACTTAAACTTTTGATATCTATGACATATATTTGCTGACAAGAACTTGAAGGCAATAGAAAAGAGTAAAATGTTCAAGGAAAATCTATAGGAAAGCAGGGAGCAAGACTGCTGGCTTACCTTTTCACAGATTTAAATATCACTGTAGTTTAGGATTTTTACTGGACGCATGGAAAGATGCTGAGAAAAGTAAAAGTAACTGGTGTTTCTTAGGCTGCGTTAAGCATTGTGAACCCCTGGGCCCCACACCTGGAATGCACCTGTAGAAGTGCACTCACCTCACTGGGATGCACCTTGACCTCACTGAGGGATGCTGGGAAATGACACTAAACACTTGTGGCACTGGGCTTCCCTGCTGGTTCAGCGGTGAAAATCTGCCTGCCAAGCAGGAGATGTGAGTTCAATCCCTGGGTCAAGAAGATGCCTTGGAGAAGAAAATGGCAACCCACTCCAGTATTCTTGTGTGGAAAATCCCATGGACAGAGGAACCTGATGGGCTACAGTCCATGAGGTCGCAAAAGAGCTGGATACAACTCAGCAACTAAACAACAGCCACCTATGACACTATTCACCTGATACTAGTTATAACAGCACCCAAAGCTGAGAGAGGGCACCTTATCTCCTGCCATCCACAGAGAGGCAATAACACTGTTTCATGATAGCCAAAAAAAAAAAAAAATAAATTTAAGGGAAATAACCTAAATACCTAACAATAAGGGACTGATTATATAACTTACAGATAATTTATTTAACAGCTTATGATGGCAATTTTAAAAATGATAATGCCTAAGTGTATTTCGGGCTTCCCTGGTGGACAGTAAAGAATCTGTCCACAATGCAGGAGACCCAGATTCAATCCCTGAGTCGGGAAGATCCCCTGAAGAAGGAAACGGCAACCCACTCCAGTATCCTTGCCTGGAGAATCCCATGGACAGAGGAGCCTGACAGGCTACAGTCTCAAACAATCAGACACAACTGAGCAACTAACATTTTCTATGTGTATTTATTGTTGCATAGAAACTTTGGACATATTTTGTTAAACAGAAACTACAAGTTATAAAAAATAGAATTTCTAAGTGGATCTCATTCAGTAAAAATCAAACACCTCTCTCTTTAGTATCTACTCACAGAGAAAAGTCTAAAATGTTAAACACAAAAGTGTAATAAACATTGCAGCTAGATGATCAAACCAGTCCATCCTAAAGGAAATCAACTCTGAATATTCATTGGAAGGACTGATACTGAAGCTGAAGCTCCAATACTTTGGCCACCTGATGCGAAGAGCTGACTCATTGGAAAAGACCCTGATGCTGGGAAAGATTGAGGGCAGGAGGAGAAGGGGATGACAGATGAAATGGTTGGATGGCATCATTGACTCAATGCACATGAGTTTGCGCAAACTTCCAGAGATAGTGAAGGACAGGGAAACCTGGCGTCCTGTAGTCCATGGGCCTGCAAAGAGTTGGACACAACTTAGCGACTGAACACCAACAACAAAAGTAACAGTACTGGGGGTAATTTTAAGTTTGTTTTTATTTGTTTATCTACCTTAAGAAGACAAGTCTGGATGTAAGGCCCGTGAGACCTAGGAACCAGGCCTGGGAGGCTAAGAGCTCATAGCTGCAGCAAGTCTGAGTTAAGGAGGCAGCTACTCACTTATCCAGCAGGTTCTCCCTCGGTATCCGAACACTGTCAAATCTCAGAATCCCATTATCCACACCATGCAGACCTAGAGAGAACAGACGGGAAATGGAGCTGCACGTGGGACAAGCTTATGAGCATCAGAAACACTGTCCCACGGGGCTTCCCTGGTGGTCCAGCGGCTAAGAGTCGGCGCCCCCAGCGCAGGAGGCTCGGGTTTGGCCCTTGGTCAGAGAACTAGATCCGGCACGCCACAGCCAAGGGTTTGCACGTTGCTGTTGCTCAGTCATGAAGTCGTGTCCGGCTCTTTGCGACCCCGTGGACTGCAGCACGCCAGGCTTCCCTGTCCTCCACTATCTCCCGGGGTTTGCTCAAATCGAGTTTGTGTGCTACAGCTAAAAGATCCCACATGCTGTAACCAAGACCTGAGGCAGCCAAATATATAAAGACATTTCTAAAAAATATACACCAAGAAAATTTTTTAAATAGATATGCCATCCCTGCCACTTTCCAGGTTGGACATCACTGAAACGCAAAGCCCTTCCTTTCACTTGCAGAATCGTGGCTGCTGCTTATTTGGGGTGGGGATGCCGTTTGCTTGTTCCCACGAAGCGTGGTGCCTGTCTCTCCAGCAGCCTCCTCACTAACGAGGATAGAGGAGCTGGGCCTCCTCGGGCCCAGCTGGGGCAGGTCTGGCGGGGACACAGCCGTCTGCCTGAGCAGTTGCTGAGACTGGGGAGGGGAGAATTCTAGGCAGCCGAGAGAACATCTGACTGAACATGTACAAGCAAGAAAGCTCATTCGGCCCCGCCAGTGACCCCGAACTCAACTTCCCCTCCTTCCCAATGCTTCCTCCTCAGAACACAGGGTGAATTTGCAATAGCAAAGGCCTAAAAGACACTGGAAAATGGCCAGAGGGTCAGCAGCGGGTGGGTAGAGTGGCCCCTTCAAAACCAGTCTCTTCTGCCTTCACTGCTTTGGTGAGTTAGGTTAGACTCAGGTGGGGAAAAGTGGAAACAGTGACAGATTTTATTTTCTGGGGCTCCAAAATCACTGTGGACAATGATACAGCCATGAAATTAAAAGATGCCTGCTCCTTGGAAGAAAGGCTATGATAAATCTAGACAGTATATTAAAAAGTAGAGGCATCACTTTGCCAACAAAGGTCCATAGAATCAAAGCTATGGTTTTTCCAGTGGTCATGAACAGATGTGAAAGTTGGACCATAAAGAAGGTTAAGCACTGAAGAACTGATGCTTTTGAACTGCAGTGCTTGAGAAGATTCTTGAGAGTCTCTTGGACAGCAAGGAGATCAAACCTGTCAATCCTAAAGGAAATCAATCCTGAATATTCATTGGAAGGACTGATGCTGAAGCTGAAGCTCCAGTACTTTGACCAGCTAATGCAAAGCACTGATTCTTTGGAAAAGACGCTGTGCTGGGAAAGGTTGAGGGCAGGGAGAGAAGGGGGCGACAGAGGATGAGATGGTTGGATGGCATCACCAATTCAATGGACACGGGTGTGAGCAAACTCCGGGAGATAGTGAAGGACAGGGAAGCCTGGCGTGCTGCAGGTCACGAGACCACAAAGAGGCGGACATGACTTAGAGACTGGACACCAACAGCTGGTGGGCCGGGCGGGGAGAGGGCGGGAAGGGCACAGGAGGGTGGGAGCAGGGCCGCCTGCGAACTCACCTTCCTTATGCATCATATCAACAACCGTCACTCCTGGGTGCAAGCGTCCGTGTTCATCTCGGACAGGAACGATGAAGCAGTGGGGCCCTAAGGACGGTGACAAGACTCTGACTGAAGTCTCTAAAGACACGAGCAAGGCGTTCCTAATTTCCAGTGTGCAATAATGTTGATTCTAAAATTCATTCCGCTCTATGACTGGGAACTGCCAGTAATAGTGTATTATGTTGAAGGTGATGATAAATTGCTTCATCATGTATATTTAGGAGACCAAGTGCTGAATTTTTTAAAACACAAAATAATTCAATTTTTCACGTAGCTGTGCCACGGTGCATGTGGGATCTTAGCACCCCAATCTGCAGTGGAAGCACGAGTGTTCACTGCTGGACTGACAGGGGAAAGTTCCAATGCGAATTTTTTACTACAAACACCGTTGGGAGGGGAAGGATTCTGTGTAAGGCACTCATGGGAGAACAGTACTAATAAGAGAAACAGCCTAGGTTTCCGTGTTGGTGACAAACCTTGAGATCTTCCGTGTATGATGAGCTGGGCAAAGACTGCTGCATAATTCCCGTACATCGCATTTCCAATGTACATCTTCTCAGCATCTTTACACGGTGTGTTAATGACAAATTCCTGCAGAGAAACACCAGAGCAACAGTTTTCCCCCTTATGGTTCCTTTCCAGCCCTGGGCTCAGCGCAACGAACGCCGTGAAACAGATTCACGTTGCATAGCTCTGCCCACTTAGGCGACCTCACAGGAAAGGCGCAGATGACCCAGTCGTTTAGTTCACCCTCACGTTCCTTCCCTTCTTGCTGGCCACTCTTCTTTGTAAGGCTGGACTGGCACGTATAGCATTTGTCTGAGCCTGTGGCTTAAATGTATGACTCCTTCTTCAGTGAGCTTCTTTCTGTCTAGGCTACCCACACTGAGGTTTTGACTTTTAAATAATCCAGCACCCACACCCCTAACAGCCCTGGTGATGTGCACTCAGTTCTCACCACAGTCCTCGCTCCCAAACACCCCACCTGCAAGTTTCACAAGAAACCACAGAGAACCCAACGATCTGGGGCCCAGTTTGATGGGTCCACGCCTGTGTATTTCATTTTCTCTACTGGACATTGTCCCTCCTAGACCAATGGCATGGCTCCTCGGGTCCTCCACTGATTCCCGGGCCTCAGACATCCCTGCATCTAAGTATGAGTCCACTGCTTGAACAGCAACTAACTCACCCAAGGTTACACGTGTAGGCGCGTGTGTGCTAAGTCACTTCCATTATGTCCACCTCTTTGCAAGCCTACAGACAGCCCGCCAGGCTCCTCTGTCCATGGGACTCTCCAGGCCAGAATACTGGAGTGGGCTCCCATGCCCTCTGCCAGAGGATCCTCCCAACCCAGGCACTGAGCCCACATCCCTCATGTCTCCTGCACTGCCAGGTGGCTTCTTCACCACTCGCGCTGCCTGGGAAGCCCTTAAATGTGTAACCTGAACACAAATAAGACTAACAAGCAACTGTGACCAAGTCCCACCATTGCTTAGAGTCTCATCCCAGACAGTTTTGATTTTTACAAAAAGAAATATCTCATTTAAGCCTTGGGGTGACTGTTTCAAAACCTCTCTCCATTTTCTTCATCAATGAATATGATAATAAAAGGTTCCCTCAAAAGCTCATGTGAATAAGCCCTTAAACATTGACTTTTAAATAATCCAGCACCCACACCCCTAACAGCCCTGGTGATGTGCACTCAGTTCTCACCACAGTCCTCGCTCCCAAACACCCCACCTGCAAGTTTCACAAGAAACCACAGAGAACCCAACGATCTGGGGCCCAGTTTGATGGGTCCACGCCTGTGTATTTCATTTTCTCTACTGGACATTGTCCCTCCTAGACCAATGGCATGGCTCCTCGGGTCCTCCACTGATTCCCGGGCCTCAGACATCCCTGCATCTAAGTATGAGTCCACTGCTTGAACAGCAACTAACTCACCCAAGGTTACACGTGTAGGCGCGTGTGTGCTAAGTCACTTCCATTATGTCCACCTCTTTGCAAGCCTACAGACAGCCCGCCAGGCTCCTCTGTCCATGGGACTCTCCAGGCCAGAATACTGGAGTGGGCTCCCATGCCCTCTGCCAGAGGATCCTCCCAACCCAGGCACTGAGCCCACATCCCTCATGTCTCCTGCACTGGAAGGTGGCTTCTTCACCACTCGCACTGCCTGGGAATCCCTTAAATGTGTAACCTGAACACAAACAAGACTAACAGGCAACTGTGACCAAGTCCCACCATTGCTTAGAGTCTCATCCCAGACAGTTTTGATTTTTACAAAAAGAAATATCTCATTTAAGCCTTGGGGTGACTGTTTCAAAACCTCTCTCCATTTTCTTCATCAATGAATATGATAATAAAAGGTTCCCTCAAAAGCTCATGTGAATAAGCCCTTAAACCAAAAAGCTTGTGTCAACAATTCTCCATCTTATAAGAGAATGAATCTTAGAACACACCGTCTAGCTTGTCTCCAAAAGACGACCAAGGATTCTAGCTCCAAACATTGGTCAGGAAAAAGCAGGGGTAAAATAATTAGCTTTTTGTTTTCAGTCTCTGCTCAAAACTCTGCCTCCTTTTTCTTCCCCTCCAGGAACCAAAACAGGGTCACCATGGAAACACCTCTCTTCCCTTCTTGGTCCTCTATCATGCTGCTTGCTACGTGGGATATCCTTCAGCCTCTTGTTAAGGAGAGACAGACCATAACTGCCAACCCTGGATACTGGGTACCTAGAACAGGTTGAAGAATCCAGGGAGTAGGGGGAACGGGAAAGGAAAGAGGAAGCCAGGGCAGGGCGTGAGGGCAAAAAAACAGAACCGCAAATTTAATCGAAGCTGACAATATCAAAGATGTGGCTGAACCAAACCAACAAGCTATTGATCATGTAAAGATCATCTCGGATTTCACATTTTCAAGTATATGGACTGTACTTTCCCTCTGGCCAAGAAATACAGTCTTGGAGCCCAAGAAAACACTCTCTGACACATGTGCACACAGGGAAACTTTTAACATAGGCAAGGGCTTTTCAGAAATATAAATGGATGAGCTGATCGTTTTTAAAGTCTCTGGAGGCTGCAGCCCTTGTTTTATCAGGCCAGCCAGGAAAGGGATAAAATATATTTTTTAAGGTAAAGAATCCACCTTCCAAGAAAGGCCAGCCTTTCTTTCCTTCCTAAAGAAAGGAGTTATTGTGAGGCTGGTGGGTGCGGTAACAAACAACAACAAACAACACGTGATGAGGGGATGTATTAAACAGCATCCCAAGGGTGGGAAGGGGAAGAGCAGAGTAAGGCTCACCTTCAGAAAAGATCTGGTGGTTTGGGGAGGAGACAGGAGGCCACTCGCCCCCATCAACATTTGATCCTCTCTGGGAAAGGAGTTTTGTCACTTCTGGCAAAAACACTTGATTTGGAAAGTCTGCCTCAGCCAAAATGCTGGCGTTTAAAGCTGGATCTAAATAATGCACACCATGTGTGTTGGTTCCTATTATAATTAGTTGCTGAAGGCTGACAAAACAGTCAATCCTGTAAACACTCATAGAGATGGCTTTGGCCAGAGAGCTCTTAAAGCCTCATTTATTTTTGTGATTTTGCATAAAGTGTAAAAACTACCTCAAAACCCTCCACGCTGCTACTCAACCCACCATCCAAAAATAAAAATAAAACAACCAACCCACAGGAACGAATAACAAAAAAACTGGAGAGATTAAAACTGCTCCAGAGGGAGAGAGAGCTCATTTGATATGCTCTAACATTTGAAAAGGGAAACGAAGGGGAAAACACAGAAACCAATGAAGGGGAAAGCCATTCTCGGCTAAGCCAGGCCTCGGTGGCCTGAGTCTATGATAGGCTTATTCCCTCCCTCACTCCCCCGGGAGGCAGCAAGTTCACCAGTCTTCTCATCATTACGATTTCAACTTTGCAACTCCCCTGCAGACAGGGGCCGCCACTGAAGCACACCAGGCAGCTGAATCATTTACGCTGTTTGCGGAAAAGTCCTGTCCATGGGATTCTCCAGGCAAGAATACTGGAGTGGGTTGCCATGCCCTCCTCCAGGGGATCTTCCCCACCCAGGGATCAAACCCGTGCTTCTTATGTCTCCTGCATTGGCAGGCAAGTTCTTTACCACTAGCCCCACCTGGGAAGCAGATGAATGTGGTAGTATACTACAGAGAGAGTTTGAGGCAGAGCCTGGCAACAGCGGGCATTCAAAAGGCGACAGTCCTTATTTTGGCCCTTACTGTGACCTCAGACATCACTGGCTACTGCAGAGAACTTGCATCAGGGCAGGAGACAAGGCGGGACACCCTCTCACACGACCCTCACCTGCATCTGTCATTCTAAATGTTGACCGCCTCCAGCTAGCATTCTTGGGTCAGAAGACCCTAGGAACAGAACTCCAGATTCCAAAGGACAACAGCCAGAATGAAGCAAAGGCTGAGTCACCACAGACACAGGCACATGGCCATACCCACAAGCATGGCCACATTCATAGCTTATGGCCGCACAAGTTCGCACACTCATTCACACACACATTTCTAGAAAAAACTGCAAAATGTATTTCTCCCTTTGTGGTTTTTAGGAATACCCAATATCAAACAAGAAACTAGAAAGGAGAATAAAATAAGTAGATCATTGCTTTCTTTATTTGAGGACAGGACGTAGGAGCTAAAAAGATGGGGGGCAGGATTTACAGAACGGGATTTTTGCTGCAACCCATTCATAGAGAGCTATCGATTTAGAGAGTCTTACCAACATTTTGGAGTTCAACCCATACAATAGGGCTTCCCTGGTGGCTTAGAGGTAAAGAATCCACCTTCCAAGCAGGAGACACAGGTTTGATCCCTGGGTGAGAAAGATCCCCTGGAGAAGGAAATGGCAGCCCACTCCAGTATCCTTGCCTAGAAAATCCCATGGACAGAGGAGCCTGACAGGCTACAGTCCATGGGGCTGCAAAAGAGTTGGACATGACTGAGCAACTAAACAACAGCCACCCAGGTAATGAAGTCAGATTGTTTTGTGAAATTTTATTTTGGTGCCTTGTGGATTTTTGCCCATATCACACAAAGATGCTGCATCATGCTGAGACAGACCTGGGACACTTTGCTGCAACGCTTGCACCTGGCTACCCCTCTCCTCAAGCAACACAATATATAAAGATACAATACTGGACTAAAAATAACTGTGTGCAGGCTCAATTGGGGCAAAATTATAGAGAAAACATACAAAGAGACCAAAACCAACTACCAATTTTGAAGAGCCTGGAGAAAAAGCAGGATGTCGGGAGCAAAAACAGGATACTGAGCATACGCCCTGCACACACCACCACCTCAGGGGTAGGCAAACCATCTCAGCCATGCCTCTGGCCTGACCCCTCGACACACCCCTATACTCACCCCATATAAGGAGTCAGCTCACCCCCACTCAGGGAGTGAGCAAGCAAGAGGACCTGATACTTGTTCTCAGCTCCCCCTGCTGCAGCAGGGGGCCCCAGTAAAGCCTTGCCTGAATTTCCTGTCTGGCCTCTGATCAATTTCTACTGACTGGGGAAGGTCAAGAACCCTGGTTGGTATCAATGCCAGCACCAAGGCCTCAGCTCCCGGAAGGAGGTCCAGCACACACAGTGCCCTCCCGCCCGATGGGGTGATGCGCCAACAGAGACCTCTCTCACACCCATGCGCCTGCTACTACCAGGAAGGACTGCAGGATGGTGGAGGTCCTGTTCTCACCAAGTTGCCCCAGAGCATGAAGTTAATAAGTGCACCTCAAATGTCTCAGCAGTGTCCTCCCAAGGCAGGTGCTGTGCAAGTGTTGGCCATAGACTCAGGGAAGCTGAGCATACATCCAACGCCACTAAAACTCAGACACTTCTGAATTCGGGCACCTCTGCCTAGAGAGTGCACGCGGTGTGGGTGAACATGGTCTCGGGACGAAGAGGAAGGAGAGTCTGCTGGGTTCAAGTCTTCTGCCCACAGAACTGCAGAACCACAGGAAGAATCCTCACCTGGGCAGAGAAGTCAAAGGTGGCTTCGGTCTGGATCCCTCTGACGTTGCTTCCATGTCCCCTCTCGGTCATTGCAAACATCCCCGTGTGTTTCTGCTCCTGGAGTTGACCGGGTGTTAGAAGGGAATCATCTAGTCAAATGGCTGCTCTAACTGCTGACCTCTCAGATCATTATCTCAGAGGATGGGATGGTTGGATGGCATCACTGACTCAAGGGACATGAGTTTGAGCAAACTCTGTGAGATGGTGAAGGACAGGGAAACCTGGCGTGCTGCATGGGGTTACAAAGAGTCAGACAGGACTGAGCGACTGAACAACCGAACAACACATCATTAAGAACATCAGCGAGAGAGGGAGTAGTGAGTTGGAGTTGGAGATATTATAAAAATTCAGTCTGGTGACAGCTAAGGTGATAACAATATGACAGACTTGTGCAAGCTAAAAAAAGGAGACTTAGGATTCTTATTTCAAACAAAGCTCCGGCTGACACTAATTGTATATTTTATTTTCTTTTTCTGCAAAAACACACACACTCCTAACTACTGTGAATTTTTGCTACCCACTCCAGTATTCTGGTCTGGAGAATTCCATGGACTGTACAGTCCATGGGTCGGAAAGAGTAAGACACAACTGAGCAACTTTCACTTTCATTGAAACTATCTAAGGTGGTCCACGCCATACCTGGAGCGGCTGAAGCCACTGAGTTACGTGTGCCGGGCCTCCAAGATTTCTGACGGCCCCACCGAACAGCCAGTAAATTATTCCACACTGGAAACAAGCAAAGTACAGACCATTGTTAGAAACAGTCAACAACTTAACAACGACTGAACCCACTGGGCAAAAGCCATTCGAGGAACACTGATCAGCCCATCAAGCTTTACCTTCGCCCCACAAGCAGCAAGGCATCCATGCCCTTCCCCTCGCGGCCTGTCCAGCCCCAGTCCCTCTGGGCAGGCACGGCTCTTGGTTCCCCTTTGTGCAGAGGTCACCCCAACAGCACAGAGCATCCGTCCTCCATCCTCAGGGCAACCCAGTTCACCCCATCACTCTGCCTTGTCTGGAAAACGTGAAAGTGTCAGTCACTCAGTCATGTCCAGCTCTTGGCGACCCTACAGACTGTGGGGTCCGTGGCTTCTGTCCTCTGTCCATGGGATTCTCCAGGCAAGAATACTGAAGTGGGCTGCCATACCCTGCTCCAGGGGATCTTCCCTGCCCAGGGAGTATAACCCGGGTCTCCCTCACTGCAGGCAGATTCTTTACCATCTGAACCACCAGGGAAGCCCCTGCCTTATCTGCTCAGGGTTTAATTTGGTGCCTGGTAGGTCGAAGGTATGCAGCAACCTTTGTGCACTGATCCCAGGTGCTGACCGCAGCCTGGAGAGTCCTACCATGAGAAACGGTCCGCAAACAGGAAGGTGGATGGAAGAGGTATGGCTGTGCAGCGTGAGCAGGCACGGGGCGCAGACCCCAGCTCAGCTCCCCACCAGCTGTGGGACCCTGGACAACAACACGATGACTGAGTTTCCCCATCCGACAGATGCAGGGGGCAGTGAGCCCCCACTTACTGTGCCCTCCCGCCTTCCAGGGTCTGAGCGCCACACACTCACTGCCTGTCACGACCATCCCGGGAGGAAAACACAATCCCATTCCCCTCACCTCCGACAGTTAAGACTCTTCCTGCAATGCAGGAGGCCCAGGTTCGATCCCTGAGTCGGGAAGATCCCATGGAGAAGGGAATGGCTACCTACCCCAGCATTCTTGCCTGGAGAATTCCATGGACAGAGGAGCCTGGCGGGCTACAGTCCATGGGGTTGCAAAGAGTCAGACATGACCGAGCAACTGACACCTTCACGTCCACTTCCTCATTTGACAGATGAGGACAGTGAGGTTCCGGAGGAGGAAGCGGCCTGTCCATGGCTGCACCTGAGGAAGCAGGCAGGGCTGGGGTTCAAGGCCAAGCTGCCTGACACCTAACAGCCCTTCACAGGTTGCTGCAAGGTTCAGTGAGAGGCACCTGCCAAGCACTTTGGTCAAGAGGAGGAGAAAGAAGAAAAGGAAGGGTGGCTTGAGCAGGGCCGTCTGAAGGGAGCAGGGGACTGACTGCAAAGACAGAAGGGCTCAGGTCTTCAGACATTTGCTGTGCTTGCCACGCACTACCCCTCCACTCACGGAGCACAGCCCCAGCTCTCCCCCCGGGAGTCCTCTCCCCCCAGAATCAGCCCAGGCGGCTCGTGGCTAATGTCAACCTCCAGTCCAGCTTTCAGATGAGCCTGGGGCCCAGGACTGGCCAATCTGCATAACAGCGTGGCCGTGGGGATGCTTTGGGATGAATCCGTGATCTGGGTGGGTCCTATCAGAGTGGCCACTGGACACAGGAGTCAGCTACTAGAGAAGAGAAACTCTCTCTTTTATTGGAAGCAATGGAACTTGGAAGAAGGGAGGGTGGGGACTGCTCTTGCCATCACGAGAGCTGGTGAAGGAAGCCAACGGTTGGGGTCAAGGTGAGGAGAAGCTGAGAGATGAGAGGGGCCAGGCCCCACACACCCACATCTGAAGCCAGCTAGACCCTGGACTCTTTGAGTGTAGCAGCCAATAGGTGCCTTTTTTCCTGGGGTCACTGCAATGGAATGCATCCCAGTGGACACAGTGACCCCAAGGAAAACCTTGCAGGTAAGTGGCAGAAACAGCATCTTCACATGCTCCCATCTGAGAACTGTCATCAGCCTCTGGCGGGGACCATACCCTGCACCACACGGGTGTAATCAGCCTTATGCTAACTTCCAAAAAGGCCACTTCATCAAGTTGAAGCGAACCACTTGACCAGCTGAAAGAAATGCTCTGACATCACAACAGATGAATTTCACTAATTACATCGACGCATGAGGAGCTTTGCATTTGGAGAATCATGAGACATCCTTGGAAGAGGCTGAACACCCTGATTTCTCAGTTCCCTGCTCCTCGGAGTCACTGCCGACCCAGCAAACTGCTTTTCTAATTCCAACCCAGGAAAATGGAATCCATCCAAATAGTCCTTTTTCCCCCCAAACCCTCTTGGAAATCGAGTTAAAGAAAAATATTTTTCTAAAACTAAAACACGTTGAATTTTCCGCCCTTAAGTCTCTTTGGCTGATGGCTAATGTGCTCTTTATAGTGTATTGTTTTCCTAGGTTTTACATTTTTTTCCTCCTCTTTAGAAAGACAGGAAATGAGTCAGCCAACTTTTGAAAGACTCCATTCACTAAACGCTATTAGTTGGAGCACTGAGCTGGGTGAGTGAAACCTGCAGGCTTCCGGAAAACCACAGGAGTTGGGCTTCCCTGGCGGCTCAGCGGTAAAGAATCCACCTGCCAATGCAAGAAACACAGGTTCAATCCCTGATCCAGGAAGACTCCACACGGAGTGAGCAACTGAAGCCCGTGTGCCAGCACTACTGAGCCTGCTCGAGAGCCCAGGAGCCGCACACCCTACAGCCTGTGTGCCAGCACTACTGAGCCTGCTCGAGAGCCCAGGAGCCGCACACCCTACAGCCTGTGTGCCAGCACTACTGAGCCTGCTCGAGAGCCCAGGAGCCGCACACCCTACAGCCTGTGCTCTGCAAAAAGAGAAGCCCGCACACCCCAACTGCGGAGTGATCCCCACTCACCGCAACTAGACAAGGTCCTCACAGCGATACAGACCCAGCACAGCCAAAAATAAAAATTTTGTTTTAACACTGCAGGAGTTAACTGAGGCACTACCTGCAGACCCCGATCTACAGAGTCTGTTCAAACATGGGCCTCTTCCCCACGTGCTGACCAGCACAAAGCCACATCCTCCAAAGAGCAGGGAAGCTGACAGTTGGGGACGCCCCTGGGGCACTCGAACAGACAACTGCCTGGCCTGCTGTACTCTCCCAGCAGGGTACTGCGCCCAGCCCGGCAGGCAGACCCGAGGTGCCCGGCCAAGGTGTGGTGGTCAGATCACAGTCAAGGGCATGAGAAGTGGAAGCGTTTGGGGAGGATTCTGGAGACAGAGCTGGTGGGTTAGGCTCGGGAGGTGGGGGCAATGTGACATCTGGTCTTTGGCCTGAATCTTCAGATAGATGGAGGATCATCCATCGCTAGGGAGGAGCCTGCAGAAGAAGCCAGGGAGGAGGGGGTGGGTTCCCCAAAACAGGGATGCTGAGCCAGAATGGAGAAGGGCGAAAAGCCATCACGAGGAGCAGCACCAGGTGTCCCCGGGACAGGGCGCCGGTCCACTGTTGCCAACACTGCCAGGGAGTGTCCTGCCCTGGCTTCTCCCAGCCCACCTCTGGAGACAGGATACAGAGGAATGCTGGGGAAAGCAGCGGCAAGGAAATAAAACAAGGAAGGAGGAGGCAAGGGACACCTGAGGAAAACCCTAACTTTAAACACATGCACACCTTGTACTGCTTGTTTGAGAAAGCCCCCTCTCTCCTTTCTCACTTCTCTGGAGGACCACAGACACAGCTCCAAGGCCAAGTGCAGGGGGTTATGAGCACAACAGGCCCAGGGAGGGCTGCTGGCAGCCTCCGGTGGCCACAGCTGGAAGCTGGGAACTATGGTCAGGACAGGCTGACAGGCCCAGGGATATGGCCTCCAGCAAGGCTCTTTAGCTTCCAAAGAGTGGCTAGAAGGAGAGCCGACCCCTAGGCAGGGGAAGCTGAGTGGGCTGGGCCTGGAAACAAAGGTTGGTCCCTCCTCCGCCCACTAGCTGAGCCACCATCTGGGAAGCCGTTTGGGGAAGGCCCAGGTCAGGAGCTGCAGCCCCCACCACCACCACTTACAGAGCTCCTGCAACCTGCAAGACATGGCCTGGAGCTCCTCCTGGGCACCACTGGCTTAAATCTGAACCAGCCTGTAACTGGGCATCAACACTAGCTAGCATCACAGTCCCCATAGAAAACGAAGCTATAGATGTATAATGGGACATCTAGGGCCATGATGGAGACATCTCGGAGTCGGGACATGAACCCACATCATTCTGACCATCTCCGACACCACGGACCTGCCAGGTCTGTGATGTGTGCAAGAATCCAGGTCCTTCCTCCATGATGGTCAGACAGCAGGTCCCCTAAAGAGACTTCAAGTGCATTCAGATTGTTTCCATTTCAAAAGCAGATGGGAGGGACTTACCTGGTGGTCAAGTGGTTAAGACCCCATACTCCCAATAAAAGGGGTGGGTTTGATCCCTGGTCAGGGAACTAGATCCCACATGCCACAACTGAAGATTCCACATGTCACAGCTAAGAACTGCCATAGTCAAATAAATAAATAAGTTTAAAAAAGAAAAAAGAGTGGATGGGCTATACCAAGGCAGTGCAATTGGTTTTCGAGACAACGGTAACCCCACAAAGGATAGTGCAATGGACTAAGTTGTTAGGTCTTCACCCAAAAACTCCTATTTGTTGCTGCATAGTTGCTAAGTCATGTCCAACTCTTTGTGACCCCAAAGACTGTTACCCAAAAGGCTCCTTTAATCCATGAGATTTTCCAGGCAAGAATATTGGAAAGGGTTGTCATTTCCTCCTTCAGGGGATCTTCCTAATGCAGGGATGGAACCTGCATCTCCTGCATTGGCAGATGGATTCTTTACTGCTGAACCACCAGAGAAGCCCAGAATTCATATGCAGAAGCTTTAATCCCCAATGTGGTGTTAGGATATAGGAACTTTGGGAACTAACTACATTTAAATGAGGTCTTTAGGATGGGGCCCTCATGATGGGATTAGTGCCCTTACAAGAAATACCAGAGTGCACTCTCTCTCTC